TGTTCAAGATCTTGACTTCTTGAAATTTCTTGAATTCTTATATTTTCTTACCAAGATCTTGAATCAAGATCTTACTGAAAAAATTCAAGAAGTCAAGATCTTGGTTACAAGAAGTTTCACTAGGGTAGTTTGTTAAAAATTTGATTGGAATTGACAAAAAAATAAAATAAACAGGCATCATGAGCTGTATAAAAAATCTTGTCTATAGTGCAGTCTTCTTCAGTCAAGCCATTTTAGCTAAAATGGCGTTTGGGTAATCGCAGCTTTTATATAGATCTTTTGTATATGGGAGATGGCTTGAGATCGGTGGTAAGTAATAGACGCTCGTTCGTATGATTATTTGAATAGCTTTTGATAACTAATACTTGCTCAAGTGAGTGACTAGCTTTTTATTGTTGAATAAATATAGAAAAAAAGTAAAAAATAAAATGTTTTCCAATTTGAACAAATATTAGAAGAGAATTATCAATCGCTTAAAAGTCTACTTTAAAACTTATTATTAAGATTATTGTTTATTTTTCACAGAATATAAATCAGAATTTAAATTATGAAGCGTACAGTTTTCCCAAACTTGTTAATTGTCCATTGTTGTCCATCAGAGCGGCATTTTGTCCAACATAGCTATTCACTAAGTTTTGAGGCATAGCACCAAACCATGAGTATTTCGCAACATATGATTGAGAGTCGAGCCACGGCATTGCCTTTTCCAAAAATGCACTTACTTCAGATAATGAAGCAGGTGAAATACAGGCAAATTCAGTGACCCATATTGGTTTTGATGGATAAATATTGTGCACTTTTTCGACGTATGATTTGAACTCAGTGATTGAAGTTCCGTACCAGTGAATAGCTGAAATGAAAAGAACTTTAATGACAAACAACGAAGGTTATTAGCTACGGTTCATCGGTCAATCAAAGTTTCTTTTTTTCATTACGATCATGACATGACAGCATTCAACAAGTCAAAAACACTGATCAATATTCAAATTTCGTTCAGGATAGAAAGTTCATCAAATTAAGAAAAGAAATTGGAAAAGTCTACGGTAAAAAAATTAAATGAGGCAAATAAATATGTTAAGTCTGAAATCATATAAGTAAGGCATTTTTAATAACCTGCTAAACTGGCCCTTCCGCATAATTTTGAGCGGAACAGCTTACTTCTCTTCTCAAGACGATGAAGCCAATCGAGAGGCAATCATAAGGCTCAAGCTACATTCAACAAAAACTTATAATACTTATCTAGAACTCGAGTAGCTAGACATTGTCAATCCTTTTACCACACTACAGAGCATATTGCTACCGTTGTTATATGTCTCAAATATCATTTTTTAGCCGCTTAGAATAGACCTAATGAAGAGTCAGACATAACATGCCAATAAAAGAATGTCCCCCCACTATTTTCCTGAGTCAATATGACATTAAATTTTACGATTCTATTTCTCAGCAGGACCGCTGCATAATCGACCTTTCAAAATATAAAAATTATCTTAGTCATAAAGCTATTTTTGATTATTAAATTAAGCTATCCTAGTAGTATGTCTTTATCTAGACTTATCAAATTTGTATCTCAAAACTTTCCCAATTTACAAGCTTTCGTTCTCCTTTAGACGTGCGGTTACAGAAGTACTTACGAATAAAGTCGATTGAACAACCAGAGCATTCGCTCATGAAGGTTGCCAGCCAGGGAAGACCACTTGGCCCACTCGACACAGCAGGTGCACCAAGAGCAATTCCTTTATTCTTTAGTGGTTGGATGTGTTGCTTCCACAGACTAGAATACCAATAAGTAAACACTAATCATACGTTACATATAGTCAAAATCATACGTCACAGCTTGTGATGGCGACATGTGTGCTTGTTCTGCATGATCCGGCTCGTTGAAACCAAGAACAGTTTTACATCCCGAAGTTGCAACACCATTGGCAAGATCAGCAATTTTTGAATCGGTTCGTTGCATACAGACATACTGAGTAAAATTAATTTCACATGACGTTTTATAAAATAAACGATCAGCTGACACTCACCTCTAGACCAGAACTTGGATATTTTGCTGGTTTCCATGTTTCCCAATTGCTAATTTAGAAAAAAAAACAATTTCTCCAGCATTACTAAGATATGAAAGATCCTTACTAAAGCCAAGATATTTTCCCGTTGGTCATGAATGTAGATGGATTTTTATCATTGTTCCAAGGCCATCCAAGACCACGTTTGGCGTTAACTTGGGTGATTGTAATTACCAATGAGGTCAAAAAAATCAAAAAGAATGTCGAGAACATTTTTATTGCACGGTATTCTAGAAAAGAGAAAACTTGTAAACCGAAGTAGTGTACAATCGATATATATAGTGCATAAGACTAAAGGAGAGTGATAGAAATATAAAGAATAAGAGAGATATCGAGCATGTACAAGGAGAGAGAGAATGCACAATGGGGGAGAGAGATGGAGTGCGGTAGAATCGATCGACAATGAAGTGTACAATTGATACTTCACAGTATCATCAGCAGGCTAATATGACTGTCGAATTTAGAACATTTTCGATGTGAACAATTGAATACTGATAAAGTGTGCCTGACTGAAGGAGAAGACAGAGTGATACACAATGAGAAGGAGATATAAGTTAAATTTATCATCGTTTGTCAGGTATAAGCATTGACGAATGTGCGAAATGTGTCTTTGTTTGCTGTTTTCTCTTCATGCAACGGGTGGACGAGACTAAATCTAACAGTTTAGCTATTTTTGTTAAATCTTTAAAAGCACATGTGCAGACTAATTGAACTGTTTATCGAGTTTAAAAGATTACAAAGCTAATATCATCTACTATCAAATAACCTAAATTTTCGCAAGTAAATGCTGACGTTTATTTAAAGCATTTGTGTGATACTTATGTTTGTCAATGTGGCAAAATAGAAAGATGGCAACATTATTTAACTCATTATAGCGGTTATACGTTCTCTAGATTTAGATCTGTATAGTAAATTAGGAGTCCTACTGGACGAGAATGTTGTTTGTTTGGCTCTTCTCTCTCTTAATATACCTCTTGAGTAAAATACATATATTAGTATTTGGATCAGTAATCGAATACATAATTGCTGTTAAATGTTTTACAATATAGAATTAACGGTCTCAGTTTGTAATGCTTTCTATGTTGTTGTTTCGTTTTTTCTTAAGTTCTGTACAATAGAGTAAGTCTTGGTTTTCATTCTTTTTATTCATAATTGCTTATAGCATTTACCATGTCACTGTCCTCTGATCTTATGGCTCAGGAGGCATCTGTGTAGAATGACTGTTCTTATTTCTCTTTCTGACGTGACGATCCATGACTCTCATAAACGGTTGCTTACATGATAAAAAATATTTTTTTATTTACCGCCTATTCGATTCTCCGTACATAGTTAGGTAGAAACCTACGCTTTAACCTTTATCTGACACACGATTCCACAAAAATAATCTTTGAATAAGAGCATTATCAAAATTTTCCACAAATGCTCTTAGACTAATATTGAGCTTTTTATGAAATTAGTTTTCATCCGATTATTCTGTGCAATATCAAATTTGAAAGAGGAGAAGATTTATAGACCATTTTGTTTCTGAAAAAGTTTGGAAGCTGAAATAAAAAGAAATAAAATATTGAATTATCAAATTTTTATTTTTTCTGACTTTTCTTAAAACTCAACTGTTGTTAAGCCCGGCAAGCAAATGAAAACAAATACAGTGAACATGGCGAACGTGTGTTGTGATCGCCAAAGGACACCGGACGGTTTCTCTAAGAAAATGGCCCCATATATTTTTGAGAAGAAACGACTGAAACTGATCAGAAACCGTCCGTTATTTAGTTTTTAATTTTTCTGCGCTTCAAAAGTTGATTGTAAGCTACCGTATGCTGGAACTTTTAATCATTTCTGAGCATCGGTCCAAAAGGCCTGTTTCATCGTATTTATTCATTTTTCTGTGCAAGTTCGACGTTCTTAATAGAATCTTATACACGAAAACATGTACAATTAAACGGGCTACACAATAAGATATAATGCACCTTTTCAAGCTAATGTCTTCAGAGATGTATAGGACAAATACTTGGCAGGTATCTCGATTTTACCAGTAGTGACGGACAAAAATGATTCTAGTATCGTCCACAGATAGAGATCTCTAATCCTGCATACACCATTCCATGCGCCTTGGAAAACTCTACAATATGTGCTAAGAGGAAAGCTACCGAAGATTTGCAGCGGTTTCCGTATATGAAATACTTTGCGGCTTAGACTGACAGTGAGTCCAAAACTTATTTGCCACCTTTATTTTTCATTTTTCTCGACGATTTATAATAGCTCAAACAAATTTGAAGAAAGATTTAACAAGCTGAAAGAATTTCAGTTCTGATGTCCTGTATAAAAAGGTTCTATGAAAACTCGTGAAACCAGGGTCTCGATAAACCAAGTCCTCGAGTTCAATCTAGAAATGATTTACAAATAGCTCAAATAGATCAAAAATTTATAGGACCAATTTCTTGCAGAAACCATCCGGTGTCCTTTGCCGTTTTCTCTACATGACTCATAATTTGATTTCTATATGAGCATTTTTTTTTTTTAATAATATCTTGAGTACAATTTTAAAAAAAATTGAAAATCAAAAAGCAATTAACATCAGACAACCTTGATTATCTACATTCCAGTTGAAAATAAAGTTCGAAAAATTCTCTGAGGCTTTCAGACGAAGACGGAAGTTGATATATTCAAGCATCCACTGTGTCTCGACTGAGAAATATATCTGAAAACAAAATGAGCCATTTTGTCGAGAACTATTTTCCTTTAGAAAACTTAAATTATTTTAGATTTTTCTAATAATTATTATGTATAAAGCTCACCCGTGTGAAATATAGAAAAGAATTTTCATCTTTTTTTGACATAGCACATGGTCTGATATGTCTGTTGTTGTGTACACTTTACTTTCGCTTTTGTAGAAGTAATTTCTCTCTCTCTCTCTCAATTGATTAGAAGAAAATTCGAATAGTTCTGTAACATTGTTTTTTTTTCTGACGCTGATAACGTATGATAACATCTCTTACTCGAAAGAGAAATAGTTTTACAGTAACACGTGTTGTTGTACTACATTATCGCTCTTATTGAGATAACTTTAAAAATGTTTTTTGAAGAATTTTATTTGTGAAACAAAATAACTGCACTACATAAATATATCGATTAGTTAAATATTTGTTGATAAAAGAATATTGGAGTTAGATTAAGCCTTGTTCCAAAACAGTCTATACACTATCAGGAACGTTTCGTCCAAGCTACAGGTTTGGGCCAAAGTAAACAGGTGATTTGAGATGTGTGGACGAAGTGTCTAAAGAAGAATTGACGAATCGCAATTTTTAAGCCCAAAAATGATGCAACAATTCGCATTTTACGCTTGTGTTGAGAATTCACAGCGAATTGATGCGAACTATACGGAAAAAAAACTTTTTTGAATTCATTTTACGAACTCGTAAACATGCGAATAGATCAAACATGATGTTGGTCGATTGGCAAATAATTCGCAAAATTAGTTTACGAATTAGTGTTCACTGCTTTTAGAACTAGCTTAATTCATAAATAAGAATTAGCGAATTCGTATTACGAACTGATCTAGCGGTTGAAAATGGATACTTTTAATATCAATTCGCCGTTATTCTTAGGAATTCGTAAAATACGAATCGATGTCAAGGACAAGAAGCATTTCTATGAGGTTAAAAATAGATATCCTCATAGAAATGCTCCCTGACATTGATTCGTATTTTATGAATTCGTAAAATAACGGCGAACTGAGGTGAGAACTATGCGAAGAATCTATCTATCTATTTTTACCTCGTAGAAAAATTCCTAGACAATAAAATGCCAATTTACGAGTTTTGTTTATGAATTCGTCGGATATGCTTGACGAATTGATGTCAAGGACAATACACGTTTCTCTGAGGTTAAGAAAAGTAAGGATCGTCTCTTCGCATCGATTCACATACTTCTCAACTGAATTTGCCGCTGTTTTTACGAATTCATCAAAAACTTACTGAAATACAACGAAACACGTTTAGCTTGTTGTGTAAATGTTCACAGCCACCCTCACTGCTCCCCCTTCCCGCATGCGTACAAAAAGGAGAGAGATTCCTTTCTATTTTCTTTCGCAAAAAACTATCGACGAATTGAGGAAAGAATTGAACGAGTTGAAGCGAAGGAGAAGAAATTTCTTGTCCTTGACATCAATTCATGTTCTACGAGTTAGTAAAAATAACGGTGAATTGAGGTAAGAAGTATGTGGATTTTATGAATTCTATTTGCGAATTCGTCGGATATGCTTTGGCATCTACGAATTCGTAAATTCGCATTTTATCGTACTTTTGCCAATTTACGAATTCGTATACGAATTCTTGGAGACCAAAAAGATCATTTCACGAATTCATCGATAGTTGACCAATTCTATTAACAAATTCGTGGGTACCCGAAATTTCTTGCCTATGAATTCGTCCCAGTTTACGAATTGCCAAGAGGAACAAAACCGGCACTTTTTTGGTTATTTTTTCATCATTTTTGTCAGTTCGCACTCAATTACGAATTCGCAAAACAATGGTAAAATGCGAACTATTGTATTATTTTTACGCTCAAATATTACGATTCGTCTTGTCCAAACTAATCGGTGATTTCTTCTGAAATACTCTGAGAGTCTGCATACTACATAGATAAAAATTATATGTTAAAAAAGAATTTACAATTAAATCTGGATATTCTTATTTTTCTTTGAAAAGCTATTTCACAGTTAGAAGTAATGGCTATAATAACAAGTATTATTCATTCGAATTTCTATTTTTTTAGAAATGATAATGAACGTTGTAGTGAAGAATCACATTATGAATGAATAAAAAAATTCATACACCAGATAATAATTATTAGGAAAATCTAAAATAAATTAAGTTTTCTAAAGGAAAATAGTACT